TTAATATTATTAGGTAAAATGTTTATTATTATTATGAAAATAATCTTTAAAAAGCAAATTTGAAGTTAATACTTTTCTATAAACAAAATATGTAATAAACATTTAAAGGTTGGAAATTAGAACTTAACTATTGCATTTATTATTATTATGTAAAAAAAATTGTATTTGAGTTCCATATTGAAATAAACCAAGAATTACGTTTACAGTGTTCTTCTGCATCTTCATCAATAGTTATTTAAGTCATTTCCGTTGGCTTTCTCTTGAAGGATTGTCCTCTGCTTTTAATTTTTCAAGAAAATTAGAAGTAACAATTTGATAACACAGATTGAATAATTATCAAATATTTTTACATGCTCATTTGCTTGCTTTATTTCCTGATGCTCATCTATCATCACTATTAGTATCATCACATGGTTTCAATTTGATATTTTTGAACAAGTAAACAAGGTAAGTCACTAGCGAGCATTTTATTCACTAAAATTAAAAAATAAAATAAATAAGTTAGTAAATTGAGTAAAAAACCAAATCATTTGAACTTCTGTTACAGAATTTCTTGAATTTTAAACAAAGTATACTTTGAGGAAAACAATAGATTTTTATAGATTTTTAACAGATTATGGAAGAGAAAATATTGTAGTATTTATTTAAATAATTATAATAGTAATTTTTTTAAAAAAAATTTTTTTTCAACAAGCACAAAGTATCACGTTAACTCGTTTGTAACATATGAAAAATATATGAATTGATCGACAAAGAGGCGCAAATTTCTATACCTAAATTTGGAAAGAACCCGGACTGTAATCGTCCTTGCAAACAATCATAGGTCGAAGCCCTCCGTATAAATAAAACAATACAATACTTTGAAGATAAAATAAGCCTTTTTCGATAAAAAAATAAGAGCAATGTTATTACTAACTCACCTCACAAATCCGACTTGTTTATATTGCTTAATTCCCCTAAATCTGAGAATCTGTTAGAATGGGGTCGTAACCCCATAGCCCTGTAGGAGATGGGAAAAATTACATGATTAGTAATTACGTTACCCTGACCATTCTCCAGATCCTTTCTTCATAAGGCAGGTCTATTATAATCGCAAACGCCAAGCATTAAATATATTTCGTCATTCTGGGGAATTAAACCTTCCAGTCTGGCGATCTCTCATTCAAAGTGTAAAATAAGTCAAATTTTGACGATCTTTGGAGATTGTAAAGATCTCAAGTTCCATAACGTATGAAATTTGATATTATTACTGATAAGAACAGTAAACCTTTCATTCTTTTATCCTTTTCAAGTTTCATTAGCATTTCTTCTTATCGGAGAAACCATACACAATAAGAAAAGGCTTTATTATTAATAACGATAGAAAATAATTTTTAGTGGTATCACAAAAAAAAAAATCATTGTGATATTATTATATTAATATGTTCTGGATAAAACCGCTATTTTTCATATATCGAATTAATATGTGTTTTCATGTGCAATCGAGCTAATTTGGCTATTATTAGAAGTTCATAGAACGTGTAAGAGGTCAGTTGATATATTTGTGCGATCATATGCAGGTATATCAAAATTGGATTAACTACACATGGTTTAGATTCTTGTTAAAAATCATGCGTATTAATGTGTATATATATATATTTCGATTTTTCCCATATTAATATATCAGTATTACTATAGATTATCTCTGCTTTATTAAAAATGAATCATGTATTCTTAGACTATAGGTTAATAAAAATCACATATAAACCATTAAACTTATTATAATTGCTAAATATGTCTGGTTTAGATATCACTATTATTCTCGGTAACAAACAAAGACAACTACCCAAACCGTTTAATAACCGTCCTGGATATGATATGAAGTATGTTATGATATATCTCAACTATTATCATCCTATTTATTATGGTGAAAATCTTGAGAAACTCTTTGATACTGAAAAAAAATATGACAACTTGTCTATAGTAAAACGAGACGAAAAACTTATTCAATGGGCAGTACGAGTTAGAATCGATCTTCAAGATTTATTAAGCGAGAATAAACTTGGTATGTATCATAGATATTGCTTATTTGCTTCTTATCCTGGAGGTAGACTTGTAGGTTATGATGATTACCAAAATTACTACAGACCAAAACCGCTTAAGAATGGGACTGCTATCTGTTTCGGGTGTTGGAAGGTATTTCGTGCTGATGTGGATATAAAGCCTAAAAAAACGTTTGACCATGCTTATAAAAGATTTGCGGAAATGGTTGAACCTAAAGACCTGATGCAGGATCATTGGGATAACTACTGTTCTAGACCTAAAACCGATTTTGGACGTGCAAGGATTATTCAAAGAGCTTGGAGACAATTTCAAGAGAAAGAGCCATCGAATGCACGGCTTGCATGGAATAGCTTACCGAATGATAATACTCCAGATGATAAGAAATTTTTAGGTTTAACTCAACATAAAATAAAAAATCCTCAGACTCGAGAACAATTTAATCAGTGGCGTACTAAATGGATTGAATTATATAAAAACGATCCCATGATGCGCAGTTCCATTATTAATAGACAATATGAAGAATATTATATTCCATATAATTGGATAGATTCTAAAAAGAGTCAATTGTGGACTAGATTCCAAAAGCGACTTTTAGAAATAGAAGCGTAAATATATTAATTATTATACACATCTAAAGTATTCTTGAGGGTTAGTACTTTAAACTTTTATTTATTGCTGTTTCGTGATGGTTAAAGGCTATTTTTTGTTTGTTATCATTATACTAATGATTATATAATAATGGTGTGTTGTCAATATGCGATTAACGGTTGAATTTTTAACTACTTTACATTTTTTTTCAAATTCTATAGAATTCAACAGAATTTTTTCCGGGGTATATACAAATGAAATTCAATCAAGCATATACATATCTGATACAGCAACTACCTCCCTCATTAGTGGAAGAAGCATGGAGACGCCTTACTACTCGAAAACGCAATCCTTTTACACTACTAGAAGCATGTGGTATAGATCCAGCTATTGAAGATTTTTTGCAACATGAAATTATAGTTTATAATAGAAAAAAAGAACGCCAACGTCGAAGTTCATCACCACTTGAAAATTTATCACGTGTATATAACACAGAAATGACTAACCAAGAATCCCAAACCCAAGATACTATTCCGATTTGTACATGTGATCAGGTACATAAGTGCCCTTGCTTTGCAAGTAAGGAAGAAATCAATCGCCAGGTTAAGAAAGAGGTCGATATTTTATTTCAGAGATTAATGGAATATAATGAAAAAACTTTTGGTAAATTTATGCGAGAAATTACTATAGAGTATGGAAAGCGGGTTAATGAAAATAAAAAATTGCGATGTGAAATCGAACAACAAAAGATACAATTACAAGAGACAGAAAAATGTCTCGCATATCTGAAGTCACGCTCTATTCATCAAGTTGACTAATTGGCATATCCCAGCCGACACGTATTCTATGCGGGTGTTCTGGAGGTACACTTAAATCGAAGACAATAAATTTTTGTTCACATAAATGCTTATTAACAATTTTATAGACACTGCACCAGTCATTAACATATAAACGAAGTATTCTACTTAACTAATCTGAGGTACAAAAGCCGTTGAACAATACAACATATTTTAAGTTTTTTCTTATTAGTTTTGGACAGTCAAAATAGCTTTGTGAGACATATATCGAAGAAACATTGGAATGGCGCCCCTCTGTAAAATAAGGTATAATCTTTTCTTGAATTTTCTTTGGTTCAGTGCATACATCCTCAAATATAACCACTGTACCTCTTTTCTGGTGAGAATGAATCTAGCTTTGGAATTTTATCTGGTTTCATAGCCCGAAATGTAATATCTTCACAATATGACTCTGGACTATTTGCAATTATTTGGAAAACTGATTTAAGGTACATGTATTTTGGCTTCTTGAGATAGTGACCAATAAGCACGACATCATCACACTTAATATATCTAGTGCCTCCTTGTTTACCATTAAACATTCTATGTAGTTTATTTCCGCCCAAAAGACGAACAACTTCAGTAGATTTTCCTGTATTAGTTCGACCAGAGATTATAAGTGTGAAAGGCCATTGGGGTGTGCTATTTAATGAGTTAATCTTTCCGGATTAACGTATTCGTCGATATTGAGTACAAATTTCTCGACCGGATCAGCTTTCTATTTTCATCCCGATTAAGCTAAGTAATGCTAAATTATTATATCGAAAAATAATGATCTTTATTGTGATATATACATATTCACTGGATTTTTTTATTCTGATAAATCATAGATTCGAACTTGTATTACACCATCTGTATCTGACTCACTATTCGTATCTGAATACCAACCGAAAATATTGAGAGTGGGATTTTTATTCTGTAAGGTTATAATTGCATTCATGCTGATTTCATCGCAATCAGCAATAACAAGCTTCTGGAGATTACACAAATTTGCTAATGCGGACATAGATTTATCAGTAATATCACACCCTTCAAGATAAAGCTGTTCAAGTTCTGGACACAATTGTGCTATTACACAAATAGATTCATCAGATATATGACGCCAAGATACATTGAGATATTGAAGTTTAGGGCACGAGTCTGCAATTATTCTCACGGACGTATCAGAAACAGCTATATTATCCATATCGAATTTACCTTCTTCATCAGCAAAAGAAAAACTAAGCATATTTGGATGTGAAATAGCTATAGCGCAAATACCATCATCTGTTATCTTCTCACAATTACTCAGGTGAAGATGTCGGAGGTTTGGACATAAGTGAGCGATTTCTTTTAATGATACATCGGTAATACCCGAACCACCTATATTAATATACTCTATTTTTTTACACGACTTAGCAATTTCGATTACTGAGATATCTGAAATATTATTACTATATCCCAAATAAAGATAAGTTAAATTTGGACATAATGATGCGATCCCACAAATTGTTTTATCCTTGATATGATGAGGCTTAGAGGCCTTAATTGCATTATTGTAAAATTTAAGAAATAGTAAGTTCGGATATATGATTTTTCCAATTGTTTTGCTAGAAAATCCATGGCAGTTGCTTATAGTTAAGTGACGCAGGTTCGGACACAGTCCTCTAATCCGATATAAGGTTCCACTAGAGACTTTACATCTAGAAATGCAAATATCGATTAATTTTGAAATATGGAGAGGTTTTTGTGTATGTATCACTTCTTTGAATTTTTCCCAGTAGCTAGGATTTTTTTTGTAACCATTGTCAACGAATTCGACTCTTCTCCATAATATTGGGGCAGAACATAAATACCACAACCGGTTAACAAATAAAGTCGGGTATAAATGTTTTATCTTCAGCAAGATATGATAAAATTTCAGTTAAAAGTTCAGGCAAGGCAAGTGGATGAAGGCCTAAAGGGTCATGATTCGAAGAAGAGACAGAGTCTCAAATCTCCGATTCATCGCCTAGACCCAAAGGGTCATTGCTCTGCGGTAACGGCCTGCTTTGCAATAGTTTATTATATGTCATACTTATGTATCTTTAGATACTAGCTCCGCTATCTTATGAGATTATTCTTTATGCGATAAATAACCTTTTTCAATGAGTATATTTTTAATAAATTCATATAAATCTGCATCATAGCTAATTTCAACGAGATCTATACCTTCTCTTTGACATATCTCCCGCTTTTTTTCGTCACGTACTTTTTGTTCATCCAGATCAATTTGTCCTCTCTTATGGAACATTGAATCAAGACTGTAGTGTTGGATTCCCTGAAATTCGTATGCCAATTTTAGCTCTTCATTATACCCGTCTAATTGCATCCCATTCAAAAATGCCAGTTTACAAGATGGAAATTTCTTACCTAACAGGTCTTCGAAAATATATCTACAGCGACGTTCATCGGCGTGATGGAAGCAAAGTGGACACCATTCAAATTTCGTAGCTATTAATGGATATGGATATTCCCACTGATGCTTTCCGTTTTCACAGGACCAGAGATATACATCAAAATCATTTATTTGGTCAGTTTTCATAATACAATGTCCACCACGCTTCCTGACATATTGTTGCGCTTTAGTCATTTTATTAATAACACGAACGATATTAACAGATCTGGAGTGAGTGTTTTCTTCCAATATACTCTGGGGTGGATACTGAAGCGTATCAATATTCACGTGCATGAGTTCTTCACGTACAAATCCTCGCTTTGGAGGATATTCATCGTCATCGCTCCCAAGATAATATAAAACTGGTTCGTTCTTCGTTACCACAATTTTTCGAATTTTATGAATGCTTGGACTGAATGTGGGATCCGTGGCTCTTTTCTGATTTTCCATACCTCCTTCCCATTCCGCATTAGCAAGCAGATAACGAACACTATCACCCTTCTTTAACTTATTCTCCTCATTTTTCCCAACAGGACGTTTATATTTTGTGGATGGCCGAGATTCAACCTTTTCTAACTTAATTGCTTTTATAGGTGCTAATCCCCATTTCTTCGACCCAGGAGCTCTAATAAGACGCGTTGGATAATTATTTAGGTAATTAATAACTTCTGGTAAATACTTAACCCATTCACTTATTAATTTAGGATTTTTAGATATTGATTCAACGGCGTACTGGATTTTATAAAGCATCTCTGCTAACGTCTTATTGAATCGTTCTACAAGAGCTAATCCACGATGACTATAAGCACCAATTACTCGAATTGTGACATTGTGTTCTTGCATCAACAAACTTACCGATTTTTTAAACTCTGACCCGCCATCACAATGTAGAAGCGTCGGGTATGTAAGAGGGTTGTTTGGGGTCGTCATAAATTTTCCTGAATGCTTTAGCAACCTCCGAACTTTTCTTTGATGTTAGTGGAACTGATGCTTTGAATCGGCTAGAGATATCCACTATGTTGAGAACTGCTACCCATTTTTTACCTTTATAATGATCATGTGTAAGGAATAAGAGGTCGCACTGATGTACACAATTTGGCTTGCTAATTTTTCCATAACTCACTCTGGAAATGTATCTAGGAGGTGGTGCATATTTTTGCCATTCACTTTGATTTGTGAGCCATTTTTTAATCGTAGAGAGCTTAAATTAATGTCCCTTTTTCTGACATTCATCTCTTAACGTCTTTGCGTTGGAGAAATAACCAGTAGGACGGTAATATATTTCTCGCAATATAAGATTTTTTTCAATATCACGAGCTTCATTAGGATCTATAATGATACTAGGGTTACTCATTTTGGCAAGTCAGGGTAAGTCAAATATATTATGCCATAAAAAATAACCATGACATTTCGTCGACCACATCCCAATCAAATATCTCATGGACCAAGCTCTGATCGGGAATTGGAATTGGAGCAGGTAAATCAAGCTTTGAGAGATGAGTTATCTAACGAAGCTTCAATCAATAGGTTGAATGAAAAATATATAAAGGATCTGGAGCGTAAATATATCAGATGCGAGAAAGAAATCCAATCTCTCAATAGAGAATTATAACAGCTTGAGAATGCTTCAGAGTGGGAAAAGGCAGAGTTGAGATCAGAAATCTCTAGCCTTCGTATACAAATCTATAATGCTAAGAAAGAGGTTCGAGATAAGGCTTCTCATATTGCCAATATAGAAAAGCAATTACAAGAATCGGAAGAACATGTTCAAAATCTGAGGTATAGATTCAAAGTTATTTCTTCCCGAAGAAGCTCTCCAAGTTTATATAATTCAGAAGAGGAAGATACAGATATGGCTCATATAGATCCCTTTGTAAATATTAGAAGAGGGCTAGTTCGGCTTGAAAATCATTTTAGGGGTGGTACACCATTAAACAATCCAGCCAATATTGTCCAAGGTATATACGGCACTTTAAATACTATTAGGGCTAATTATCAAAGAAAAGACCAGGATTTAGATGATATCACAAATCAACGAGATGATCAAGATGCTCAAATAGTACAATTACAACAGGATGTCAATTTCTATAGACAACAAAATGCCAACCTTCAGAATCAAACCAATCAACTTATTCAAGCACAAGATACCTTGCAAACCATGTCAACCAACTTATACCAGAACGAGATACCTTGCAAAACCATGTCAACCAACTTATACCAGAACGAGATACTTTGCAGAATTGTGTCAATCAACTTGCTCAAGATCTTAATAATAGCCAACAAAGATATAATTTGCGAGGGCATTTGTGGTTTAATGCAAGTCTGATATGGGATGAACAGTCAAAACTCAAACATGTTCTTGAAATAATTTATAAGGCATTTATTCATCACTTAGAGCAGGAGCTACAACAATGCCGGGCTGATAAAGGATTATTAGAATATAATCAAGATCAGCTCTTTGATAGATACTAAATAAATTTAAGGTTCGCAAGGCAAGTCATATCAAGTGGAAAAATAGAGAGCGCAATTCACAGCAATTAATTTTAAATTTACAAGCCCAAATTTATTACTACAGAATAATATACCACATAATCATAATAACAATCGAACAGGTATGGTGGGTTATGAATTAAAAAAATTCAATGGATATCCTACTGAAGATCCCGAAGAACATATTGAAGAATTTAGATTGTGGCTTGTAGGTTCTGGAATAGATATAGGTGCTGGCCATGCTAATAGAATTAATGCTCATGGTGTTTTTATAGCATCTCTCAAAGGTGATGCTAGAAGAACCATCCATGGAAAAAATTGGGAATTGAGAAATTTACTTGATAATACAGCACAAGCTAATTTAGGTGCAGTCCAAGGGCGAACAGCGCCCCAGTTAGGCATACAAGCATTAAATCGGGCTAATGGACAAGCTGGCAATATTGTAATTCCAGCTCATACAGTATTTGATGAAGATTGGTCTTTTGCTGATGGACGACCAACTGATCGCTTACCCAATGCACCCAATACTAATACAGGTAATACTGTAGTTGTAGCTGGAATTAGGCTTGGTCAGGTATTATATTGGTTTAAGACTAATTATCCCACAGTTACCACTGAAAAACAGCAAGTTCTCTTTGGTACAACTGTTCAAGGAGGTGATCCAGTTGTCATTTTTATTCTAATTTGCATAGATTAGCTAGGCTTGCTGGTATTGATGAACAGCAGATTCGATTACAATTTCTTTGTGGACTTTCACCCGCAAATCAAATGGAAGTTCAATGTTTAGGAATTGAAAAATCTGTGAATGAATTGCTCCCACGACTCGAAGAAATTGAAAGATATACAGCGGAACAATTATCTGGAGCTTACCTGCATTCAAACTCAGATTCAGTATCATCCAGTAAAGGTCATGGAAAGAATAATTACTCAAGCAATATGGGTATGAGTAGAGATGAAATGGAAAGCTTTGTAAAATCTATTATAGCTTCATCACAATCTCAACCAGTTTTGCAAACTACCTCTTCTAAATCTCAGGAAAATCAATCTAATCAAATCACGCTTTCACAAGATGATTTCAAAAAAATTATAGCAGGTTTAAGGGAACTATTGCTAAAGGACAACAGACTTTAAAGAAACCTCCTGGTCCTGGAAAATAAAAAGCAGATGAACTTACTATGAACCGTTTTTTAGATGAAGCTACGGTGCAGATCATCTATAATCATTAATTGCTTGTAGTAACAATTGGTCAACTTCAAAATACTAAAACAAAAAAAAATTATATATATCATTTTAAAAAATTTAACTGATAAGCTTTATTGTTCATGACTCAAGCTTCAAAACTTATCGGCTGGTTTTTCCTTAAATTGAAAATTGGCATAGCCTTAGCATTTTGAAAATTACGAATTTTGTTATACATTTAAGAAATTGAGACTAAGTAAATTTCGTGTAACAACTGTTTTTTTTCATGGAATATTTTCTACAACATACATTTGATTTATTTGATTTATTTATTTCCTTTTTTTATTAATAGATAAAAGTTCTTTACAACAAAAAAGTTTAACGAACATATTACATTAAAAGAAAATCATTACCAAATTTGGTCGTGGGATTCAAAATATTGTAACACGAAAATTATTGTTGCACTTCTGAGCATAACTTTCAAATTTAAAAAATTTATGAAAAGAAAATTTGAGACAAATTTTTTTTTTAGATTAATAGACTCCCCTTTTAAAGCTGAATTGAATGGTAGTAAGTTTTTTAAAATCCAATGTGCGGATCACATAATATTTCAAAAATTTTAACTTTTGAGTATAGATGATCCGCACTGTAACAGATTTTAAATGTCTAAGGTCCGTTACAACGACGTTTGACTGCACATCAAATGCTGCGCCGAGTGCCCAATTCAAAAATAGCAATGATGTTTGTTGGTGTCACAATATTATAAAATCACAGACACGAATTATTTGTTTTATTCGTTATTATTATTATTATGAAATTTGAGTATATATTCGAATAAACGAATAAACGAATAAACGAATAAACGAATAAACGAATAAACGAATAAACGAATAAACGAATAATTGAATAATTCGAATTCGAATAAACGAATATTAATAATCGAACGAATTAATAATCTAATAAAAATTTGTATTACGAATAGAAACTCTAATACTCGTTCAGAGCATCAAAAATTAGCCAATCATATTAATATTATTATTTATTTGTTGAACAAAAATTTATTTACTTAACGTTTAAAGACATACAAAAAATTTAACTCTAATACTAATATATTTATTTGTTTTTCCCATTGTTCTGGTCACGTGCCGTATATATCTTTTCCCAAATAGGAAGATCATCGTGTGCTTTTTGATATATAGTAATAGTAAAGTCGCATAACCTCAAATCATTAAGACTTTTTTTTAATTAATAAAATTGAAAAAACTCTTTATTACATTGTTCCTTGGGTTCTAAACATTGCAAAAATAGAGTTTTTTTCAATTTTATTAATTAAAAAAAAAAGCCTTAGTGGTTTGAAGTTGCACGATGTCTTTAGATGATTTGCACCATACTATACGTGTTAATCATACAGTGAGTGACGAAAATAATGGTGACAAAAAGTTGCATATCTCAACAAATATTGAAAGATAGATGAAGGCAGATTTGCATGATTGCAAAGCATAACCAAATAGGCTTAGATTCATTTAAAATAAAAAAATTTATATTGCCGATTTTTTGTAAAGCTAATTCAATATTTTTTTAAAACCTTTACAAAATTTTTGACTCGAAAAATTTTGATGTGAAATATTTTAATAATTATTATAACACAAAAATGTACATAGTAATTATACAAAAAATTTATATCATATTGTAGCTTAAATCCTGAAGATTTCTCATATAAAATTACATGCTTATATATTTTCTAGAAATTTGTCAATTAAAAATGAAAGAAATCCGATTATTTTGAAAAAAAGTAATATATAAAACCTTGGATCAGGCGGCCATTATCCTGCTTATGTTCAATAGTATTCATTTTTTAGGTATTTTGAGATTATATTCAACGGTATGAAAGAGAATATCAATTTCCGATGTATTTCTCCTTGATGAATGAGCATTGCCAAGCCAGTAATGTAAATAACGTGAAACATTTTGAAGTTGGGCACAATCTTCGTGTGACACGCGCTTATAAGATGTTAGAGATAGAAAGTAGTAGTAGATGATGCCTTTTATTTTATCAATGAGAGGTAAGAAAGTTTGTAAAGATATGCGAATCATGACAAACAACACATTTTATTGTTTGTTATGCAAAAAAAATTTGTATCATGCATGAGCTGCCATTTATTTTCGTTACACGCTGTACTTCTTATTTTTCAACAGAAAAAAATAAAATCTTTATTCGCAGAAATAACTAAATTTACTTTTCACATTACTTCTACTATCATGTCAAATTATTAATTTTATTTGTATAACTAAATTCACTTCAAAATTTTTTACACTATTAAATTCGAATTCAATATATTAATATACTTTGCAAATATAATTTAGCTACAAAATGACGGTTTTGTATAATTATTATTAAGTATGTTTTTGCGCAATCAACTTTCAAACGTGTACTGGCTTGTGTATATATACATGTGTCAAATAATAAAGGAATGTTATCCAAATTACTGGATCAGATCAATTGGTTATAATTGGTAAAAGCCTTACATTTGTTTGGGTCAAAGTTGTTTGTTGTTATATTTCAAGTAAATTATTGCACCAGTTTTATTATAATTACTCAACAGTCATTTATTTAATTTTCTAAATAATATATGTATGTAATTTATTTATATATAATAAAAAATTTTTTTTATAAAAATATTTATCCTACAAAATATCTAATTTTGGTTTTCCAACGCTGTGAAATCATTCCAGATCCACGAGCTTGTAATAATGGTGACTGACTACATATTTCTTTCCATTTTCCTCCAAGTTGAACAGTAATTGCATTAAACAGCTCCGTGTCCTCTTCTTTTGTCCATGGTCTTCTATTACTGTTACTACTACTACTATTATTATTATTGCTAATATTATTTTTTTTTTTCCCTTTATTTTTTTTGTTATTTGCGATTTTTTTTTTATTGGAATTACTATTCCTGCCACTACTACTAGCGCTAGCAGCGTCGTTTGTGTTGCCAAGTAATTCAGAATTATTATTACTTGCTGATGATTGTGATAAAGATGATGATGTTGAAGATTGTGATAATTTACGTTTAAGTTCTAAAAAATAATAAAATTTTATATATTATTATATGTTAATTTTTTTTTTTTTGATTTTATCCTTAAAACTTACTATTTTCTCGACTATTATTAAAAGTCATTTTTTTTTTTTTTGAAAAGTTGAAAATAAAATTTTATTTAAATATAATAAAATATAAAATTTTATAAATATATATAGGAAATATTATAATAAAATTAACTATATTTTTTTAAAGAAAAACAATTAGTTTATTATATAATTTATATTATTATTTTTTTTTTAAAAAAATTAAGTTTCAAAAATTTAGAATAAAATAAAATTAAAATGTAATATCAAATAATAAAAATAAAATAATAATAAATCTAACTCACCCATCATCTTTAACTTTTGATACATTATTGATAATCATTGATTAAAAAATTCCTTTCTCTGATAATTTGACAACTAAATTGTAAAATTAATTGATTCATTACGCTTATCTAATTCATCATCCATCATTAATTAAAATCTCACTTTGGTAAAAGTAGAGTACTGAAATATTGTACCTCATCAAATAATCCTTTTTCTTTGTTCTTCAGTTAATTTGGTGTTTTGGTTATAATCGTTCCTTTTCTAATTTTGCTTTTGATAAAATGTTCTTTGTACTTTTTTAGTAGGTCACCATCCGCTTCTTTCTCCTCGTTCGAATGTAACGCATTAGTTTATATTTCTACCAGGACTTGGTAATCTATGAACTTTCAGCATAGTTCTCAAGAAAATTATTCGCAGCTTCAGCAACATTTTTTGTCAATTTACCATTTTTGTTTTTTCGCTGAGGTATTCTTTTAGTATTACCTATCATGAACTTTTGATATAAGAAAGGCTATTACTATTGTTGACTAATGATTTCTCCAAAATAAGCTCAACATGTTAATTGAAAATAATCGGAAATGATTTACGAAAGGTACACGTGATAAAATTGGACACGGAAAGTTAATTATATTAATATCAATATGTAGTGTTTGTAAAAATTTCTTTACTGAACAGCCCATCAAAGACTTTCTTGCGGGTCCGGAAGAAGACAGTATTAAATATGATGCCTTTTGTAAATTATGACATCAATAATTTATGTGACACCTGTCAATATCAAGATCGTCACAAAGTGATAAACATGATACATCATGCCGTGACTGTTAGTCATTATACCCCCCAAAAAAATTTTCACAAAAACTGTATACTCTGACTTTACTGCGACTCCTTTACAGAGTGGTGGATCTGTTTAGACTTTTACAAACAATGCTGTTCCCAAAGTGTTTTAGTTATTCCTTTCAAAGAATTTTTCAGACTCATGAAATCACTTGAACGTCTGTTTCAGCAAGACTCACTGGAAGTTCGAGAATAAGCAAACATCTTGATCAGAAAGTTTGAAGTTATTACGTAGTGTCTTTCCAATATAACATATAGCATATGAAGTCGCACGCAGTATGAGGATTTCATCTAGTTGGATAAGATATCTAACTTCCACGACTACGAGGTGAATTACGGTCTCCCTCTAATGATTTACGCATCGTTGTGGTGTATGGATCTTCAAGCGGACTACATATTCCCCTCCGGGCTATGTCTACGGGACTGTTGTGGATGCATCAAGAAGAGTCGAGCACCCTAACATCAGCAAAAAAGGTAAGAATTAAGCCAAATGACAATATTTTTTGTATTTAGAAATAATTGAATTTTGAATAGACTTGAGAGGAAGCCCAAGCCAGTAGAAGTAGAATAGAGGATCAAAAACTCCAATATCCTTATTTCAGTGGTGAATCTTGACTTGGAAGAAATGCGATTGAACTAAGTCCTCGAACGATTCTATTCGAACCAAACCGGATTCCTAAATTTTTTTAATTTCATATATTACACAAACTAGTGTACCTCGATTTAATGGATTGAGGTCCAAGAATGGTTTAATAATAATAATAATAATAATAACGAATTTTTGGAAACTATCTGCTTAAACCAAGATTGTTTATATTTTTTAAAATTTAAAATTTAAAATTTATTAGTAGCCAAAACTATTTGTAAAAAAACTTCGCCCAATTTCAGCTATAAAATTAGTTTCGCCTAAGTTTAGGCCAATTAATTCCGTCACTAAATAATATTATTATTAATTGATAACAATAATGATAATGTAATGATGAATAAAAAGTAATACAATTTACAATCGTACAATTCATTAATAAATTCACTAAATCTAAATAATAGATATAATTAATGGATGATAACGATTGCCATAGATTCGAATCAGTTCAAATTGATTTGATTTGTTTGGAACCTTACACATATCAAATCAAGTAATATTACTTTGGTATAAGGTTGCCTGTCGAAATTCCTCCAGAAATTAGTCAGCAGGGTTTCGGCAGATTACACATTAATTGTTTATTAGAGTTTCGGCAGAGTTTTGCATTTTGAGGTTTCGCCATTTCAGCATAGTTTCAACAGGATTTTTGATAAGATTTAATATAGTTTTGCCATGGTTTCAGTAATTACTAAGGAGGTTTCGCCCACAACCTTACTTTGGCATTGATTTAAATTTTAACTATTGTGATCATTGTAACTTTTCTAGGATTCTATCAACATCAGGAAATTCTTTGGATATTTATATCTACTGAATATGAAAAGGTTGTGATTGTTGTTGTTCTTTAAGAATTCCCAAAGAAGAATTTGCTGAATTACATGAATCTTTTCATGCTCTCACTAAATCAGAACAAGACATATTTTTAAATGGCCCAACTTAAGGCAATGGATGGTGAGTCAATAAACACTAGTAGACACCTTAAAAAGAAAACCAGTTCTAATAAAAGAACTTTCTACCACTGGGATCACAATGTACCTCTCTGTCAAGAAACTTATTTTAATATGTTAGGAGTTGGTAGGACTTATTATGAAAATATCAGAAATCATGGTCTTTTACCAAAGAGTTTATGGTAATATTAAAAGGATGCCTCAATGGAAAACTAAAATGATGATTGACAAAGATGTTGCTGAAATTGTAAAGATTTTTTTTGGAAAATTATGCTGAAGTCACGGATTATCAAGCCCAGGAAGAAGTAACAAGAGAATAATCCAATCAGTTATTTTTTACCAGCTGAAATGAGTTATAAAATTGAAATGATGCATTTAGAAAATTATATTTGTCAACATTTTCGAAATGGTTTACATTACAATGCTTCCCAAGAAGAAGAAACCAAAGAATTGCTCAAAAACATATTTCCAAGGCAAAATTAGAGGAATTATTATAATAAAAATACTAAATTAGCAAAAGAACAAAGAAAATTGGTTGATCAAAATTATTCAAAGGGTAAAACAGTATTAAGGCTACTACTCATTATAGTTAAGATTGAGCCCAATATGTTCATATACCACATTCTGATCAACAGGTAAGTAAATCTATTATCTTAGTCCATGTAAAGTCCATTTGTTTGGTATCCAAGGCAATAAGGGAACAAATTAATTATGTTCTTGATGAAGATAAAATTATAGGGAAAGGTTCCAATGGTGCACATGGTATGATCTTTGATGGAATTAAGAAATTGAATAAGGGTTGATGGATGAGTGTGTCTCTGAACTTTGTTTTTGTTCTCAATTAGGTGTCCCCCCATCATGAGGTAACAAAATCTATTTTTCATGACACTAATTCAGCTGGATAAACCCTGAGCATCATATACCAGTACAAACTGTACTAAGAATGTTCAAAGATCTTCTTTGTACAGAAATCCATATCAATCATATCCAAAATCATCACAAAACTGTCAATTTCAATCAACTTCTGTACAAACTGTCAAAGACAAAATTAAAAAAGGTTATAACCCCCTTTTTACATTATTTTTTTCTGAAAAACAGCTTGACAGCTTGTACAGACATATTAAAGAACCCAATTCACCACTAAAATGCAATTTCACATAACTCTCTGTACTATACATGTTGTGAAAATTAAAATCTGAATTAATTTCATCTGACTCAATTATTTATGTTTTCATATGATTCAATTAATTGCGTCAAAAAGTCACCTGATTGAGTCAAGTGATCAACCTATTTCTACCACATGTATACTCTGTAGAAACATCAAATTTATACATTTTATGCCAGGATCTTTGGATGTAATTTTTTACCCGTTATGACATACCAATTCTTGGTACAGGGCCGAACAATATATACCTTTCTCATCCAGACGATTCTAACAGCCCAAAATCATCAAAATCGGACCACTGGATAAAAAGTCATTACATCCCAAAATCCGCAATTGACATACCCATACAGTATAACCCTTGTTTCAACGGATTTTAAAAATCATTGTTACACATTATGAAAACATAAAAATTCATTGAAACGCGATTAGTATTAGTAATTTCGTTGAATACACAGTGAATCTCGATTTAACGGATAGTTTGGGCAATTAGGGAAAATTTTCCAAAAATCCGTTAAACCGAGATATCCGCTATATCGAGAAGGTTTTTATTAAGGTTTATTATGAAACCGTTCTTTGAACTTTATCCGTAAAACCGAGATTTTTAATTAGTATCCGCTAAATCGAGATTTACTGTGTATTCAACGAAATTTTCTTATATGTCCGTTCAGCCACTCGTTGAAACGAGGGTTATTAATTATGATGATCGACATAACTACTACCCTTAACTGATTAAACGGTTAGCGGTGGTTTTCGGGGTCCTGTGAGCACTAATGACAGGTTTTTATTTTAAAAAATTAAAACGTCACACGTCATACATATTTGAAAATCATTTTTAATTTTGGTAAAAGTAACGGACAATTCGCTTGAAGGAAAAAATCACAAATAGGTTGCTTAAATGACAAATCCGGAAGAAAGCACTAGTAATGCTAGTAATGCTTCAACTTCACAAAATGCTTATAATGGATCTTGGTTTGATGATACAGTTAAAGAAGAAGACTCTCAAACTTTCAATTTGAAACAAAAATACAAAGGTTATTCATTTATAGTGTATGCTAAAATAACAAAATAAAACAACTAGCAATTGTCAATTGTTTACTATTATTATTATTATTATTATTATTATCATTATCATAATTATTTTAAATTTATAGAATTATTGGAAAAAACTGGAGTTCGTGATTTTTCTTCTTTATCAGTTGTTTCATTTCTTGGTTTGTCACAGAATGAAACAACAACAAATGTTAGTTCAGTTGCTAATGCCATTATTGAAAAGAACGTTTTTGGTCAGGTATGAAAAAATAATAATGTTGTTTGAATAATATTAGCATTCATTTAATTAATTTTAAAAATTTAGAATAAATGTATTGATAATCAGTGCAAGTATCATCCTAATAAAGCAACTCTTCTTATACAAAATGGAAAAAAAAAAATAATATTAGCAATAATAATAATAGTAGTAGTAGTAACAGTAATAGAAGACCATGGACAAAAGAA